CCCCGGGCAGATGGAGCTCGTTAGCCCTGTAAGGCAATCCATCTACGTCCTGAGGACCTCGCTGCCACCGTCCAAGCTCGCTTGGCCCCGGCAGATGAACCTCAGGATTAAAGGGTGGGCTCAGTTCCGCGCACACTGTGTCTCACCTAAAAAATCCAATGCGCAGGCTGGAAGGTGGAAAGACCTTCCCCGGTTCTTCTTTCGCGAAGACTGGCCAACAATAACAACCCCCTCCTCTCTCTTTCCCACCGGATCCTGTTGCTCATGTCCCTCTCGCAAAGGTAGCCTGAATCCTGCTGCGGACTCCAGTAATTGTAGCGAGAGCTTCAGCAGAACCTGTGAAGTTGTTTACTCTCTAGGTGGTCATGTGTCCTTCAGTGCTGCCAGGAGGAGTGAATGCCTGCTATGTGTGATCAGTTGTGCAGGGCTCTCACAAATCTTGCTGTGCTTGAAAATTGACCTTGTTTGTCAGACTTGATTAATATTTGCCAAAGAGTGTGATTAGGGAGAGATTAGGGAGGCAGATGCATAATGTAAGCTTAAGAAAATGGATAAAAATCCTGTAATAAAAAAATCCAATAAGGATTTCTCTTCTAGTTAAGAAAGAAAATTTCTCTGTCTCTCTGTCTGCTTTTCATTTTAATGTGAAGTGGGTAGTGTTGTCATTTTAATTTCGGTTTGTGTATTATTTTTAAAAAGTGTGGGTATACTTTTGAGAAACTGATGGCAGTAAAGGCATTTTCAGTGATTTATTTTCTTACATGGAAAAAAAACCCACTCGAAAAGCAGCAATACATGGAGCTGTAAATGGAAACTGGTTTCTCTTATCCCTGAGTCCACAAGCAAGTCTTCAAAACTGTCATTAATTAAGCACCTGTATATACAGATATATAATTATACCCCAATTTTGCATTATTTTTCATGTTCTGGTAGGCCCTGTGATATTGCAGAGAAAGCAGAAGTTTCAGGCCTCAAGAGCTGGAAAGCTCAATGTCGCATGCAGGTGGATTTCCCAGGGCATGAAGCCAGATGTGTGACCTGCAGAGGAAGGACAAGATTCTCTTTTAAATGAAGATATGAGTTTTTAGATGATAAATGTGATTTTACTAAAAGCACTGCTGCTTCAGCTCATTGCACAGCCCATTTGTAATCAGCTGTTCAAAGTGATGTTTGTTTTCTTGTGTCAGTGTAGAATTCTGATGCCAGGAGTCCTGGTGATGCACATCGCAGTGTGTCAGGCTTACTGCTGTGCTGGCTCGTGGGGAAGTCATGACACAGCTTCAGCACTGATCATGCTCTTGTACACAGGAATACAGATCTTCCTTGCCTTTCCTTCCAGGTAGGCAAGCATATCTCTGTTGTTTGCTGGATGATTCTCAGTAAATCTTTGTAAGAACTGAACGACAACAAAGGAAGGCTGGCACCTGAAGCCATCCCTTCTGTTTGCTTTTTAATATTGAAAGTGTTGTTATTCCCTCACTCCTTTTGCAATGACTTTTGCTCAGAGACTAGAACCTGATGTAGGGATGGAATCTTCTCTATTTTGCATGATGATGGCTTGTTTCCAGTTCCTCCTATTTGGCAGTAAGAAGTGTGTACTTAAACTGTTCTTTGAAGGAGACAAGCTGTTGTGGCAAAACTCAGATCCCTCACATACAACATAAACAAACCAGGATGTAACAGAATTGCTGCATAAGATGTCATGCACAGCAGTAGGGAGCTATGGGACCCTCCACCCCGGCATTTTACCTTTTCCGTGGTGACTCTGTTGGTCTTTTTTTTCTTGGCAGTTTTGCATTTTATTTTTACTGTGTTATCTTTTCCTGAGACTAATAGTGTTTTCTACTTCTTCATGCCAAAAAAAGCCTCCTTGGACGTGTCTCTTAATTCATCATTCTTAATCCTCAGAGGATGATATTTACAAAGGTTGTAAGGAAAACATAGTTATTCTGGTGTAAATTCAAATTTGCTCATTACTTATGTACATAGATATGTGCATTTGCTTCTCAGGCAAATAAGGTCTTACGATTTTCTGGCAGGAATCCTTCCTGAGCATCTCTAGTATAAACTGGACGGACTAGGTATTGACAGTTTGAATAACTTACTATTTTATTATTTTATTTTTGTCTATTTTTTATAAATAACTGCCAGGTGTTACAGAAGAGGACACGGCTGCAGAACTGCAGAAAACGAAGACTATACCTGCTGAAACAGGGGTAGACAACCTGACAGGGGATGTTGTGGAACTGGAGACTCTCAGAAAGTCTGTGGAGGACTTTTTCTGCTTTTGCTATGGTGGGTGGTTTAAAATCTTCTGAAGACCTGTTCTAGGTTTCTAAGTTTTTATTCCATTTGGGAGGAAGAAACTGCACAATCTTAGCCTTCCAACTACACTTCTAATTTTAGAAACTTTTAGTAGCCGTTTCTAAAAGGTACACGTATAGTAGTTAATTTTCTTCTTGATGTGTTTTGTGGGGTGTGATTTCAGATTATTGCCCAGTGCATTTTAATACCAGCAGCACTTGTTTTCTGAGATTTGCATCTGCGCTTTGCGTTTGCTCCAGTCCTCTCCAAAATTACAAGGGTTTATAAGGGACTCGTTCTTTTGCTAACTTGAGCAATCTTGACCTCAAAACAATCTCTTTTTTTTTTTTTTCTAGGTGAAGCTTTAGGAAGGTCAACGATGGTACCTGTGCCATATGAGAAGATTCAGAGGGACCAGTCTGCTGTCATAGTGCAGGGCCTGCCCAAAGGACTTGCATTTAAAAATCCAGCAGATTACGATGTTTCAACCCTGAAATGGATTTTGGAAAACAAGTCAGGGATCTCTTTTGTTATCAAAAGGTTATTTGCTCATTCTCTTCCACTAGTCTGTCCAATTCGGTTTTGTACTTAAATTAAGTAAAATTAATTTCAGTTTTTAATTGACTACATTGCAGACTGTTTCTCTCAAACAGCAGTTTGCTCTCTGTAATGTTACACTACCAAGTAATTAATGATGTCTTTGCTAAAGCTGTGACTTTTTCTTTCCATATTTTCACACAGGCCTTTCTTAGAGCCAGAGGAACATACAGGTAAGTTACTGCTTACTCAGACTAAAGAGAAACAGATTGCAATTTGAGTTTAGATAGCAATATAGATAGAATATTTGGTCATGTCCATAAAGCAGCAAACTGTGCAGAAATTCCTGGACTGTGAGTTGCCTTACTTATGGAGTTATAACCTTTTCCTGTATGCATTCTGCCAGGAGCAACTCAATAGAGATTTAATTAATTCTATTTAATTTTTCATCTGTTTACTGAATATAAATTTATTGTGGATTGGATAGAATCCTAGGAAAAGGAGAATTGAACTTGTGAAGGACTACATTGCAGTTTTAGAAGATGCCAAGACTTTGCAGTGCTTATGTTCCACTACACAGCTGATTTTGGCATTTATATTTAAATAAATGTATAAAATAATTTATATAAAAAATAATTTAATCTTCTGAAGTGGCTAGGTGTTGTAGTTCCTATGAAGGCCTCTATATATCAAAAAAACCCAGAGCTAGAGTAAGTTTTGTAAAACCCTAGAAGATTCACTTCTAGCTTAGGAGAAATCCCTTCTCTTCCTTTCATGTTGCTTTACTTGCTAAATGAATACATGTGAGGATTTGTTTTAAGAAATGGATGAAGCAATCTCTATAGGAATGTAATCAAAAAAGAAAAGTTTAATTTTTTAGGTGAAACAGCCAGAAGTTGATGCTTGATTAGTAAAATTAAAAATGTGTTGCTTGCACTCAGTTAAAAGTTTAGAGATTGGGAAATTACAAAGATTCTGGTAACGATATAGTTCTATTGAAAATGCAGTGTAGGTTTTCAATGTGGTGAATATAAGTTATTTGTATCTACCTGTAATTTAGTGCTAAACTTAATATGTATGAAACTATAATTTTCTTTTAGCAGAGTTTAGGTGAAGGACTTGTTTGTCCTTGTTTCCCAAGATTTTCACTTAGCATCATAAAAGAGAGCAGTGAAAAGCATGGTAAAATGCACATCTGAATAGATTTTATATTGGTGTTGCTTTATAGATGATTAAGATAGTTTAATGAGATCTATCTCTCATTATCTGTGAATACCAAAAATATGCACATGGGCTTGTAAAATGTGAACAGGTTTTTGCTTTGTTACAGTTACAATGTTACAGTGTTACAGTTTCAATTTGTATTTAAAGTAAATGGAGTACAAGAAATTCAAATACTGTTTTTTAACTTTCAGGAGCTCATATAACAGATGCTTCACATTCAATTATACCTCCAGGTGGAAGGTATATATGTAGCTTTCTTTTTTCATGTGGTTTATCTTTCTCTTTATGTGCTTTTTCTGCCCAGCTGACCTTTGGATAACTTGTGCTTGCTTGGCATTACAAAAAACATGAAGCTGAATCTTCTCTTTCTTTGGACCGTTATTTGTGGGGAAACTGTTAAAAGTTAAACAAATGGCAAAGTGTCTTTGTGGTTTAATTAGCCCACGGAGTGTTCTTAATTCATGATTTGTCAGTCAGGGATAATAAGTTTGCCACATTTTTTGGTACAGCAGTGAGGGGGAACAGATGTCAAGTTGTTGCTTCCCCCTCCTCAATTTCAAAAAAAACCCAAAAGTAATTGTTTTGGTTAGTAAATTAAGATATTACGGTTGGAATATGTAAAAAATTGGTTAATGTGAAAACAGGCATTAGTTTTCTGTGCTTCTGTGATTGCTTCTCATTAAATGCTAAGCATGATTTGAATATTTTGTATGCCCCAAAAAATGTAGGGATAGGAGATTCCTGACAATTCCCTTGATATGAGTCAGATAGGCTAATATGCAGGGATTTTTACTTTTGTGTTCTTGTTGGAAATAATAATGGGAGATTGATTTTACTTGATGGGTTGTAAAGCTTGAGCAGCTTCCCAGAAATGTGATGTTTGTTTTTCATAATGTCAATCTGCTTGATTTGTTTATTTTTGTAGTTGTCCTCCTATTAAAGTGAAAACGGAACCAAGCAGAGATTCTGGTATGTTCAAAGTTTTGCACTTACTTGCCAAAAAAAAAAAAAAAAAAAATCAGGTTCTGTGCAAAAGTCTGAATTTAAGCAAAGCTAGGAAGCTTAAAAAAACAAAAGCAGCAAAAAGACATCTTTGATGAGATGGAAAGCCTTTTTCTTCCTTGAAACTCTCCACTTTTCGGTTGAAATTTTTATCAAATATTGAACCTTAGCCAAATGCTTCCATCTCAAGAGGAAGGAAGTTTGTAATATATTGTAGATTAAAATAATTTATCTTTAAGTAGTTTAGAAAAGAGAAAATGTCTCTGTTTTGTTTCGGTTTGTTCTAATTCAAGATAGCTTTGTCCCTAATGGTAAACAAAAAACTTTGTTTATTTGTTAATATTACTAACATATTGAAAATAACAAAATGTCAATTTTCTAGCCAAAATGGAAATAAATAAAGAATAAATACCAAGATGTGTTATTTGTTATTAAAAAACAGCCAATGCATTCCTAGGTTGCCTAGCAGGTAGCAGATGATTCCCCTGGGCACTGTGGTCTGTGGCAGGGCAATGCTTAAGAGTGTGCTGTGAGGTAAAGGCATGGATAACCCCATTAAAGCCAGTGAGGCAGCAGGTGTGCTGGAAGATAAGGTGGTGACTTTCCTTTTTGTTGGGTTGGGCTGCACTGCTCACTTTGCTGTAAGAATTGAGTTTTTATATGTAGTTCACTTGCTCTAGTTCTTTGTGCTTCACAACTTTAAATTTGTAGTTTAGGATCCCTGTATGGTTAACATTCAGCTTGACATACACAAAGGGTTAACTTGAGTTTTTTGCCAAGTTAGTTCCAGAATATTTCTTGCGCTGCTCTCTAGGCATTTTAAGTAATTCTACTTTTGTCAGAATGTTTTGAAAACATTTTAGAGAATGCTGTCAAGTCTTATGGAGGGAGTATGTGTTGCTCTGTCAGCAGTGCAGTTTGATGCAGGCTGTATCTGAACTTGTCTGCACAGAGAAGTGAACAGGAGCAGGTCTACAAGTATTTTCAGCACAGTGAATGGTAAAATACATTCTTCTTCTGTGGTAGCATGCAAGAAGGAAGGAGCCCATTTAAAAAAAAAAACTTCAAATCTGAAATAGCATCTGCAGGGACACTTAGTTTGTAGGGAAGCATTTAATCCTGGATCCTTTTATAGGGTGACCAAACTGAAACATAAGAAACCAGCAGGTCACTTTTTTACCATTGTTTTAACTCAACAAATGTGTAGCGTCTTTTTTTTCTTTTTTCATCTTTGTTTTGACAGAGACCAGCGAGGATCTTGGTGGGTGCTGTTGTTTGGGTTTTTTAAGAATCTGCTTATTACTATTTTCCATATTTCATTCCTTTGTTGCTACTATAGGAATTTCTTTGGAAATGGCAACGGTACCAGTGAAGGGGGAATCAGATGACTACCATAGGTTTAATATCCCAGGTAACGATAGTAATTTCTATATGTGTTTATCTCATGAAAGGGTTGGTTGTACAAGTGTTGCTCTCTCCATGCCTCTCTGTTTACTTATTTTTGGTCATTAAGCATGCAATTACATAGCTCTGTTAGAATACAGCATTTCCATGCTGCCTGTCATTTAAGTTATTCTGAGGAGTGCCAAAAGAACTAAAGAACAACTTCATCCAAACCCATGTGTGTGTGTTTGATCTGAAGAAGTTCCAGAAGCCTTTCAAACTGTTTGATGTTTTTTTCTGAGGATCCAGTGTGCAGACTTTGTAACTTCAATGACTTCCTTAAACAGGAAATAATGTTTCTAGAGCACTGCTTGAATCTTTTCTTTTGTTTGAACTTTCTGTAACTTTTCTACACTGTAACTCATAGAATCTATGATTTGTAGTCTGTCAATCACTTCTCTTGTATGGAATGACCAATATGTGTCAAAATTGAATTGAAAAGTTTATTTGTGTGGGCAAAGCATAACGTTTAAGAGGTCCATGGCTTGGACTATGTATGTTTTAAGGTGTCTTCAGTTGCTTTTCCTCATCTCTAGGTCATCTAACACACAGACTTCAACTAGGAGTGGAAAATAGAAATTGTTATTTCGTTATGTTGAATTGAACAGTAATTAAGAAGTCATAAATGGCAATATAAAATAAGTAGAACCTTGAATTAAATATATCATTCTGTTTGCATTTGTCATTAGGTTAAAACCAAAGTATTACAAGGGAATACACTGTGACCTGGGCAAGCTGCCACACATCTCTGAAAGATAGTTATGTATTAACAGTGAAGTGCAAAACAGCATATCCCTTCATTTTCTAATATTATATATTACTGGGATAACATTTTTGTGTATGTTTAATTATAAAGATTCTTGAGATTATTTTCTAATGTGCTTTAAAAATAACAACAGGATTGTGGCATCAATATTCTCGTCCTGGCATATCTCGAGGAGTGTACAATGTTCAGAAAGGTCTCCACCATACAGCATAGCAAAGTGTTGCCCCTCAAATGCAGAATTGGAAAGGTGTTAGGATTATCTTCTCTTCATAAGTGTACTTTGCCTAACGTTGGAGAACGAGGGGTTTACAGGCATGATTTGATGTAATAAAAAGAGATACTGGTTGGAGACAGCCTAAGCATTGTTCCTTCCAAAGCCAAAGTCCTCTCATCTTTCTACTTTTGATCCCCATTATAGTTTTTTTGTTTCACACATAAGACTGATGTCACAATTTGGAAATTATCCCGCAGCATAAACCAATGCTGTCTGAAGAGAGTCTGCTCTGAAATTACTTCCTTACAAAATAGTACCCATTGTACTGCAGCGTATTTGTCTGAGCTGAGAAGTCCCCCCTATAAATATACTTCCATTGTGAAGTCTAAGCAGTGCTGATTTGAAGGGGGGAATTTCAGTATATTGGTAGAAGTGATGGGGTTCTCTGAGTTAAAAGAGATATTCCCATGTCAAGTCATGCCAACTTCCCTGAAGTAAAGCAGCTTCCCCTTCATTCTTTGAGTAGCTACCACTCTGATTCAAGCCAAAGGTTGTCCAAACTGTGGAGAGCTATAAACTTTGGAGTCATATAGGGGTTTGTGTGTGCATGGTGGTGCTGTGAAGAAGTGAACCTTAGAAAAATGCAGTTATTCTGAGGTGTGTTCCAGTATTGCCTTTGCAGGGACATGCTACAAAATAAAGAAAATGGTCATAGTTTTTGCTAAAAATAACCTACAGCTCACCCTTCCAGCGTAGCTGCAGGTGAACCAGAGCATTAAACAGTAGGATTTTAGGAGTGTTAATTTAACCAGTCATTTGTATGCTGGTTTCTGCACCAGCCCTTTTTAACCAGTCTTATCTGTCGCCTTCAAAAGAGCTGTTATTAAGAAAAGCAAACAGCCTCAGAGTGTCATCGGTTATTTTAATCCCTCTGAATTTATATATTTAATGTAGGTAGAAATTTTAGAGGCACAAAGTACTCCTTAGGAATATAAATTTTACACACAGGAAAGAGATCAAACTGATTAAAAATTCATTGAAAAAGGGCAGAAACATCAACTTTTCATGTTTTAAAATTAGTTCATTACCACCAAAAAAAAAAAAAGAAAGCCTGATGTTCTGCATGAGTGTCTGATTGTTCAGTAGTCCAAGAAATGCACACACCTGACAGTAGACCCTCAACATTTTTATTCTCTTGAACCAGATAAGTAATAATTTATAGATATTTTATAATTTAACAGTCTTTCCAAAGTTCAATGTTACAGAAAGTATGAAATGAGAATATAGTGTATGAAATGAAGAGTTACTTGGCAAATTTCTCTATAGGTGTTTGTTATGAGACACTCTTTAAAAGCCCTTCTCTTTGTTCTGAAGCAGGCCCTTCTGAGACATCAGAGATGGATGAAAAATCTGCTTTTGCAAGAAGTTACAGAGGTAGATCTTTTAGTTGCATTTTTCTTGTTTTGGAAATTGAATATGTGAACTCTCGATTTGCAGTAGGAATGAAGATATTGGAACTAAAACATCAAAAGAGATGAAGTTTCAGTTGCTTTAATTTCCAGGTGTTTGAAGTAGAGAAATGTATAAAAGGGAATCTCATTTCTTCCTATTCTAAATTCAAGAACAAGCATCAGATTTATCACTAGTGATTTGTGTGAATAGGTAAGTTTCTCAAGAAATTCAATCTGTTTAATAATTGCTTATTAAGTTTAATAAAAGTGCTTATAAATTGCAAGTCCAACTTGATAATTTTTCTCCACTGAGTGAGATGAATGGGCAAAACCAGAAAAAAGTAAATGAAAAGTCTGTCTTTAGTGAAAGCAGTTTCTTACTGGATCTCAGCAACAGTTGAAATACATTTACTGCAAAATTCTGCAATTTTTTTTATACTTCTTACAGTTTGTATTAAAGATACTGCTTTCCCCATTTTGAAACACCAGAAAATACACACCTGTATTTCAACACATTAATTTCTTCATAAACTCAGAGTGCTCCTGCTGCCATGAATTTTTAAGATTTTGAAAATGAGTCTTCTGTATGTTGTTCATATGAAAATTATACTTCTGGATTTTCCCTTCTGGGAATCCTTACTTTGCATGGATGGAGTTAAAAGTTTATTTTCACATTTTATTATAGTATGTTTTTTTTCTTTATATTTGTAAACAAAGCCATGAATATGGCTCCATAGATCTGAAGAAAGATGCTGTGGAAAATGCACAGGTGCAGCGTTACTGTGCCAGAAGTTTTGTTGTACTTTGCATTTGTTGCTGCAAGGAGTGCAAGGGGCTTCT